TCAGTGAAGAGGGAGAAACAATAACAGGAAACTTGGAAATGGCAGAGGTGCTTGATGATTTTGTTTCGGTTTTTAAGAAGAAGTCTGATGGTGACGGGATGCCTAACAGAGTCAATGCTAGTGGAAATGGGGTAGGTTTAGAAGTTAAAATGAAAAAAAAAGTTAAAAATTACTTAGAAAAGTTAGATGTCGTCAAGTCACCAGGGCCTGATGAAATGTATCCTAGAATCCTCAAAGAGCTGATAGAGAATATATCTGAGCATTTAGCTATCATCTTTGAAAAGTCGTGGAAGTCAGGAGAGATTCCAGAAAACTGAAAAAGTGCAAATATAGTGCCCATATATAAAAATGGAAATCAAAACAACCCAGGAAACTACAGACCAGTCAGTTTAACTTCTGTGCCAGGAAGACAATGGAGCAAGTACTTAAGGAATTCATCTGCAACTATCTGGAAGAAAATAAGATGATAAGTAACAATTAACATGGATTTGTAAAGAACAAATCATGTTAAACTAATCTGATAGCTTTTGTTGGTAGGATAATAAGTCTTGTAGTTAAGGGAGACGCGATGTACGTGGTATACCTAGACTTTTAGTAAAGAATTTGCTATGGTCTCACATGACCTTTTTATCAATTTACTAGGGAAATACAACCTAGATGTGTCTACTATAAGGTGGGTGCCTAACTGGCTGGATAACCATTCTCAGAGAGTAGTTATTAACAGTGCACAGTCATGCTGGAAGGGCATAACAAGTGGGTTCCACAGGAGTGTTTTGAGACCGGTTCTGTTCAATATCTTCATCAATGATTTAGATGATGGCATAGAGAATACGCTTTATTAAATTTGCAGATGGTACCAAGCCACAAGGGGTTGCAACTGCTTTGGAGGACAGAGTCATAATTTAAAATGATCTGGACAAACTAGAGAAATATTGTGAGCAAGAAAGGAGAAATAATACTTCCACTCTACTCTGCACTGATTAAGCCTCAATTGAAGTATTGTGTCCAGTTCTGAGCACCACATTTCAAGAAATATGTAGAGAAATTGGAGAAGGTCCAGAGAAGAGCAATAAAATGATAAAAGGTCTAGAGAACATGACCTATGAGGGAAGGCTGAAAGAACTGGGGGGCTGTGTCTACACTGGGCCACTTATTCCGAAAAATCAGCCGCTTTTTCGGAATAAGCTGCAAGCTGTCTACACTGGCCCTTGAATTTCAGGAAAAGCAACGATGCTCTACTGTACAAAATCAGCCGCTATTCCGGAAAAACTATTCTGCTCCCGCTCGGGCATAAGTCATTATTCCAGAACACTGTTCCGGAAAAGGGCCAGCGTAGACAGCCCAGTAGTCTTTTCCGGAAAAAAGCCCCGATCGCGAAAATGGCGATTGGGGCTCTTTTCCGGAAAAGCGCGTCTACATTGGCCACAGACGCTTTTCCGGAAAAAGGGCTTTTCCGGAAAAGCAGCCTGCCAATGTAGACGCTCCTTTTCCGGAAAAACTGAAAACAGAATAGTATTCCGTTTTAAGCAGTTCCGGAAATTCATGCCAGTGTAGACACAGCCAGGTTGTTTAGTTTAGAAAAGAGAAGACTGACAGGGAACATGATAGCGGTTTTCAAGTATCTAAAAGGGTGTTACAAGAAGGAGGGAGACAAATTGTTCTCCTGTGCCTCTGAGGATACAACAAGAAGCAATGGGCTTAAATTGCAGTAAGTGAGGTTTAGGTTGGACATTAGGAAAAACTGCCTAACTGTCAGTCAGGGTGATTAAACACTTGAATAAATTGCCAAGGGAGTTTGTGAAATTGCCATCACGGGAGATATTGGATAGACATCTATCACAGATGATCTAGATGGTGCTTGGTCCTGCCGTGAGGGCAGAGGACTGGACTTGATGATCTCTAGAGGTCCCTTCCAGTTCTATTATTCTATGGTTCTATGTAATCCTTAGAACGTGATAATAGCAAACTTTTTCATCAGATTGCAGGCCCTGGTTCTCGTGGGGGACTTTCATCACCCTGACATCTGTTGGGAGACCAATACGGCAGTACACAGGCAATCCAGGAAGTTTTTGGAGAATTTTGGGGACAACTTCTTGGTACAAGTGCTGAAGGATCCGACCAGGGGCCATGTGCAGCTTGACCTTCTGCTCACAAACAGGGAGGAACTAATAGGGGAAGTAGAGATAGGTGATAACCTCGGAAGATGGTAGAGTTCAGGAAACTGACCAAAGGAAGAAAAGAGAATAGTAAAATACACACCTCGGACTTCAGAAAAGCAGATTTTGACTCCCTCAGAGACCTGATGGACAGAATCCCCTGGGATGCTAACATGAAGGGGAAAGGAGTCCAGGACAGCTGGCAGTATTTTAAAGAAGCCTTATTGAAGGCACAGAAAGAAACCATCCCGATGCGTAGCAAGAGAGGCAAACATGGTAGGAGACTGGATTGGCTTACAGGGGAAATCCTTGGTGAACTTAAGTACAAACAGGAAGCATACAAAAAGTGGAAACTTGGACAAATGACCAGGGAGGGGTTTAAATGTATAGCTTGAGAATGCCGGGGGGTTATCAGGAAGGTGACAATGCAACTGGAATTGCGACTGTCAAAGGGTGTGAAGGATAACAAAAAAGGTTTCTATAGGCATGTTAACTAGAAGAAGATGATCAGAGAGGGTGTGGGGCCCCTACTGGATGAAGGAGGTAACCTAGCGACAGATGATGTGGGGAAAACTAAAGCACTCAATGCTTTCTTTGCCTCTGTATTCACGGACAAGGTCGGCTCCCGGACTAATGCGCTAAGTGATGCAAGATGGGATGAAGATGGCCAGCCCTTGGTGGGTAAAGAACAGGTTAGGAAATATTTAGAAAAGCTAAATGTACACAAATTCATGGGTCTGGACTTAATGCATCCGAGGGTACCGAGGGAGTTGGCAAATATCATTGAGGAGCCTTTGGCCATTATCTTTGAAAAGTCGTGGCGATCGGGATTCTGGATGATTAGAAAAAGGCAAATGTAGTGCCCAACTTCAAAAAAGGGAAGAAGGACGATCCAGGGAACTATAGGCCGGTCAGTCTTACTTCGGTTCCTGGAAACATCATGGAAGGGATCCTTAAGGAATCCATTTTGAGGCACTTGGAAGAGAGGACAGTGATCAGGAATAGTCAGCATGGATTCACAAAAGGCAAGTCGTGCCTGACCAATCTGATTAGCTTCTGTGATGAGATAACTGGCTCTGTGGACATGGGAAAGTCAGTGGATGTGATATACCTTGACTTTAGCAAAGCTTTTGATATGGTCTCCCACAATATTCTTGCCAGCAAGTTAAGGGAACATGTATTGGATAAATGGACAGTAAGATGGATAGAAAGCTGGCTAGAAGGCCGGGTCCGGCGGGTAGCGATCAACGGCTCAATGTCAGGATGGTTTGGTTTCTAGCAGAGTGCTCCAAGGTTCGGTTCTAGGACCGGTTTTGTTCAATATCTTTATTAATGACCTGGATGAAGGGATGGATTGCACCCTCCGCAAGTTTGCAGATGACCGTAATAGGGTACAGAATGACTTAGACAAATTGGAGGATTGGGCCACAAGAAATGTGATGAGGTTCAACAAGGACAAGTGTAGAGTCCTGCACTTTCCCAAGCATAGTTACAAGCTGGGGACCAACCGGTTAAGTAGTAGTTCTGCAGAAAAGGACCTGGGGGTTACAGTGGATGAGAAGCTAGATATGAGTCAACAGTGTGCCCTTGTAGCCAAGAAGGCTAATGGCATATTAGGTTGCATTAGGAGGAGCATTGCCAGCATGCAGAGAAGTGATTATTTCCTTTAATTCATCTCTGGTGAGGCCACATCTGGAGTATTGTGTCCAGTTCTGGGCCGCCCACTACAAAAAGGATGTGGACGCATTGGAGAGGGTCCAGCGGAGGGCAACTAAAATAATTAGGGGGCTGGAGCACATGACCTATGAGGAGAGGCTGAGGGAGTTGGATCTGTTTAGTCTGCAGAAGCGAAGAGTGAGGGGGGATTTGATAGCAGCCTTCAACTTCCTGAAGGGAGGTTCCAAAGAGGATGGAGAAAGGCTGTTCACAGTAGTGACATATGGCAGAACAAGGAGCAATGGTCTCAAGTTGTGGTGGGAAAGGTCCAGGTTGGATATTAGGAAAAACTATTTCCCTAGGAGGGTGGTGAAGCACTGGAATGGGTTACCTAGGGAAGTAGTGGAGTCTCCATCCCTAGAGGTGTTTACGTCTCAGCTTGACAAAGCCCTGGCTGGGTTGATTTAGTTGGGATTGGTCCTGCCTAGTGCAGGAGGCTGGACCTGATAACCTTTCTAAGGTCTCTTCCAGCTCTGTGGTTCTAAGATTCTATAATATAGACCACATATTAACACAGACTGTCCTCGACCATCTGCCCTCTCATTTGCCATTGCCTGGTCCATTTCCCCTCAAAGGGCTTCATCTTGCTCCCACTGAAGTCAATGGGGGAAATTACTATCAAATTCAATGGACAGGATCAAACTCTATGTTTCTCATCATCTAATATGTCTTGTGGCTATTGTAAGGAACTTCTTATATGAAACAGTAATACAGTATTAGGAAAATGGTGAATGCATGCTTTATTGATTTTTATGTATTACAGAAAGTGGCAGAACAGGAAAATGGGACCATCAAGTGTCCAGCCAGTGCTCTATAAATCACTAACAAGAGCTCTGTATGCTACTGGCAATCTGTGAACCACAGTTTGGGAGCAACTGCCCTGAAGGATGTGAAAAGATTGTTATGAACATTGTGGTTCCCTTTAAATGACTGTAGGAGTTTCCCATGACATTATGAGCTTTTTTAAAAGGTCAGTTTAATCATAATTATCCTCAGGAGGCCAAATAAAAATAATAGCAGCAATTTTACAACAAAGGCTGGGATTTGTATCTAAACATGAGTGAACAGGATCATGAAAATTTCAACATCTATGTGGCTGTATCTTTTTTGGTTAACAAATCCTCTTACCAGTCTAGGGTCAATTTCTTCATTAAGAACAGCCTCATTCTTAATAAGTGCAACTCGCTGTGCAAATCTGCAGGTTGATATAGATTCCTGGAAGGAAAAAAATAACTCCTTTAGCATGCATTGATGTATACAGATTTGCTACTTATTTTAAGGGGGATTTTTTTTTATTTATGTTAGATTTTATTGTACCAGTCTTACATTCCTGGTGCTTCAAAAATCTAAGAAAACACAAGTCAATGTAGCTATTCTAACTATTAACACATTAATTTGCCAGATAAAACTCTCAAATAAAGACACCTATATCCATATCTTTTGGAAAATTTCAGCCACAATGAAGAAAATATAATATCTAATAGATATTGCACCAAGAAATTGAAAATTGTCACTTCACCATTATTAGCTGGATCATTTTGGCTGATTCATTGAGTGAATTAAATATTTCAAAATAGAAGCCTGAATTCCAATAACAGAGAGACGTATCAGGATACAAATGGGTAACTGGATGTATGAAATGAGAGACTGCAACACACAGTATGGGTACTTGCATGGCTAGAATAATGCAGTTTGTGTAAGCCTCTACAAATTGTGCCTATACAATTACCTTTTCACAACTCTCAATAAGTTTAGGCCATATTTTAGAAAAGAGTGTTGATGTTTTTATTAATTAGTATTATTGTCACTGTACTCTATTACCTCTCCCCAAGAAGTCAAGTATTCTTTTACTTCCATTAGTCTTTTGGGAGAAGCCTTTCATGGGCAAATAAATGCTGTTATTTTCTTGACCTTACCAAAGTCAATGGAAGTGCTCATGTGGACTTCAGTGGGGCAGGACTGCACCAGCAATCCTTATCAATATGCCCTTGAGAAAATTCCTTGCCAAACCTTATTCACAAATCACCTATTTCATTATCAGGAAGTTGGTGTTAAGTGTGCACCTATTTATCACTATTACATATCTGCTTTGTCAGTTTTTTCCTCTATATGAAATTATTTAAAGAATAAAACAAATAATAAAGATACATTACAGCCTGATTTTGAACCTAGTTAATGTTTAATGCTGCTGCTTATCTTGTAAGATCTGTCAAGGATATTATAATATTATATCATCATCATCATAGTCGTCCTTCACACCCACAGGCATATAGGGCAGCAACAAAGGTCCTCCACTTCTGTCTGTCTCTGGCCACAGTTGAGAAGGAATTCTTTGTTGCTGTGTCTGTAACAAAGCCCTGAGCCAAAACCCCAATCCTGCAGGACCGGTGTGCACTAAGCTCCTGCTGGCATATCTCCTGGGATCATAAGAACACGCAAGCTGCCCCGCCCCGGCAAGGCACATGCACATGCACAAGGGGCAGATAATATTATATAGAGAGATTATATTCACCCACATAACTGATCAGAATTTGGCTTTGAAATGTGAAGTCAGTTACACAAAGAACCCTTATGTATTGGACATGAAGATGGTTTTAGTTTCTCATACCGTAATTTCCATTGACAGGATTGTATGTTGGAGGCACTGACAAAACAGATTTTTAAACTTCAGTGTATCAGAAATTTAAGCAGACAACCCTGAAAAACAAATATTTATAAAACCACAAGTTCAAAAAGGATAACATACATCTATGTTTCTTTTGTCTAAAGAGAGTGTTGCAATCATGGTGGTCATGCAGTTTCCTCCTAGGCTGTCTCTGAGCACCGAAGTCATCATAGAGTTCCTATAGGGAATGTGAGATCGATGTTTCTCTGCTAGGGCAATTATTACCTGAAATAAACCAGCAATGCATAAGACTTTCAAATCTCCACATGAACTTGTCATATGCACCAAAAGAAGAAATACCCAACCTGCAAATGAGCCTCTGATGTTGCAGGGACTTAATCACATTTTTAACATTAAGCTCTTGACCCCAGCTGCCCAGCCGTGGGCAGGGTAGCAACTACACCCATGGATCTGGCAGGACCATGCCCTGAATTCCTTGGCATTCTGGCTGCGTCTAGACTGACAAGCTTTTCCGCAAAAGCAATTGCTTTTGCGCAAAAACTTGCCAGCTGTCTACACTGGCCTCTTGATTTTGCACAAAAGCACTGACGTTCTACTGTCCGAAATCAGTGCTTCTTGCGCAAATGCTTTGACGTTCCCGTTCGGGCAAAAGCCCTTTTCCGGAAATGCTTTTGCGCAAAAGGGCCAGTGTAGACAGCTGAAAAGTGTTTTGCGCAAAAAAGCCCCGATGGCGAAAATGGCGATTGGGGCCTTCTTGCGCAAAACCGCGTATAGATTGGCACGGACGCTTTTCCACAAAAAGTGCTTTTGCACAAAATCTAGTGCCAATCTAGATGCTCTTTTCCGCAAATGCTTTTAACAGAAAAACTTTTCTGTTAAAAGCATTTGACGAAAATCATGCCAGTCTAGACGTAGCCTCTGTGTCTCTCAACTCCTGGTTTATCTCTCCCACACAAAGAAAGCACACAAGTAACCTACAGCCAATCCAAATTACAACCCTCTATCTGATTGGTTCTCCCAGCCCCCTGGTCAACACTTTGCTAGCTATCTGAGCTTAACCCCTTAGTCACCGGGTGCTGGTCAGCATTTCCCCTGTCCATTACACGCCATATGAGGAGAGATTAATGAGATTGAGACTTTTCAGTTGAGAAGAGAGGAGAATAAGGGGGGATATGATAAAGATCTATAAAATCATGGCTGGTATGGAGAAAGTAAATAAGGAAAAGTTACTTACTTGCTCCCATAAACCAAGAACTTAATGAAATTTCACCAAATGAAATTAATAGGTAGCAGGTTTAAAACAAACAAAAGGAAGTACTTCTTCATGCAATGTAGTGCATGAAGTCAACCTGTGGAACTCCTTGCCAGAGGATGTTATGAAGGCCAGGACTTTAACAGGGTTCAAAAAAAGAGCAAGATAAATTCATGGAGGTTAGGTCCATCAATGGCTATTAGCCAGGATGTGCTGGAATGGTGTCCTTAGCCTCTGCTTGTCAGAAATTGGAAGTGGGCAACAAAGGATGGATCACTTGATGATTACGTATTATAGTCATTCCTTTCGGGGCACCTGGCATTGACCACTATTAGAAAATAGGATACTGGTACAGATGGCCCTTTGGTCTGACCCAGTACTCCTGTTCTTATGGTCTTCATGGGACTTGTTCACATATTTTCTGTAAACTGTCTTGAAACTTGTCTATGTCGGGAAAAAAAACCCAAAACCAAAACTCCCTACTATGTAAGGGTATGTCTACACTACAGCACTAATTCGAACTAACTTAATTCGAATTAGTTAATTCAAACTCAGTTAATTTGAACTAGTGCATCTAGACCTAAAAACTAGTTCGAAGTAGCATTTTGCTAATTCGAACTAGCATGTCCACATTGAGTGGACCCTGAACCGAGGTTAAGGATGGCCAGAAGCAGTGCCAGCAGGGCATCAGATTAGGACTTAGAGCGTGGAGCTGCTGCTTCAGGCTAGCCAAGGGCTGTGCTTAAAGGGACCCGACCCCCACATCGGACAGACAGTTCTCAGGGGGTCCCCGCTTGCAAAGCAGTCCTGGCTTGGAGGGCCCTGAGTGCCCACACTTGGCACATCACAGCCCTCGGCCATCAGCCCGGCTGCACTTGCCGCAGGCTGCCATCCGGGGGGAGTCAATCGGGGGCCTGCAGGAGAGCTTCCACCCCCAGAAGCCCGCAGAGCCACCCCAGTCCTCCCCATTGGGGGCTCATACCCCATTCCTCCCTCACCGCCTTCCACTTACCCCTCCCTAGCCCCCCCTTTTCTGATGTGTGTTCAAAAATAGATACGTGTGTTCAAAAATAGAAACTCTCTTTATTGAACAAAACTCGGGGAGACTGGGAAAAGGAGGTGGGAGAGGGGAAGAGAGAGGGTGGGGGAGGGGAGGGCAACTAAAATGATCAGGGGTTTGGAACAGGTCCCATATGAAGAGAGGCTAAAGAGGCTGGGACTTCTCAGCTTAGAAAAGAGGAGACTGAGGGGGAATATGATAGAGGTCTATAAAAGCACGAGTGGTGTGGAGAGGGTGCATAAAGAAAAGTTCTTCATTAGTTCCCATAATAGAAGGACTAGAGGACACCAAATGAAATGAATGGGTAGCAGGCTTCAAACTAATAACAGAAAGTTCTTCTTCACAAAGCAAATAGTCAACCTGTGGAACTCCTTGCTGCAGGAGGCTGTGAAGGCTACAACTAGAACAGAGTTTAAAGAGAAGTGAGATAAAGTCATAGAGGTTGGGTCCATGGAGTGGTATTAGCCAGGGGGTAGAAATGGTGTCCCTGGCCTCTGTTTGTGGAAGGCTGGAGATGGATGGCACGAGACAAATGGCTTGGTCATTGTCTTTGGTCCATCCCCTCCAGGGTCCCTAGTGTTGGCTGCTGTCCGCAGACAGGCTACTGGGCTAGATGGACCTTTGGTCTGACCCACTACGGCCATTTTAAGCTCAGGGCTCAGGGTCGGGGGTCTCACTGGACCACCCTGATTTTCATGCAAACCTGCTCCTGGGTGGCCAGGCTGACAGCTATCCTGCCCTAGACGTCCACTTTCCTGTGCCTAGTGCAGCCGCCAGCCTGGTCCCGGGAAGAGGCGGAGGGCTGGGTGGCAGCGGACTGGGTGGCCAGTTCGTGCCGTGCCAGGTGCAGGGTCTGCTGGCTGGGTGCTGGCAGGCTTGCACCTGGCACGGGCACTGTAGCCAGACCATGCCCCTTTAAAGGCTCCGGGGCCGGGAGGGGGGCAGACGAGTTTCCCTGGTGTTGGCCAGAGTGGCCACCAGGGAAAGCTGGGGAGGGCTAGCCTCCCACTAGTTCGAATTAAGTGGCTACACAGCCTTTAATTCGAACTACTTAATTCGAACTAGGCATTAGTCCTCGTAGAATGAGGTTTACCTAGTTGGAATTAAGCGCTCCGCTAGTTCGAATTAAGTTCGAACTAGCGGTTTGCCTTTGTAGCGCCTATCAAAGTTAATTCGAACTAACGTCTGTTAGTTCGAATTAACTTTGTAGTGTAGACATACCCTAATGTATCTAAAATAGGCTTAGTTTCAGTACAGATACATAGTTACAAAGGAAATGATACCCTGACCATTCTTGAGTCTCCTCTCAACTTTCTACATTAAAATATTTAATTATTATAAAATAGCAAAGATTCCATGATAGGAGCAGGAGGAGGACCCCATCACCTTGGTGACACTGGAGCTGGATCCCCATGGCCTAGATGTGCCCAGGCATCCCCCAGGCCTGGGGAGGGAACATCAGGTGAGTGACTGTATTATTCTCACACAGACAAGGTGCAGGTTGCAGACAGCGAGAGGTTGGGGGGTGCTCCTCGCTTGGCCTTCTTGGTCTGGGGAATCACGCTGCAGTACATGCCAGTCTGCACCACACAGCCCCAGGAGACTGCATCTGCGCACACCTGGGTTCCTGCTCAGAGGGTCTGAGGAGGCTGGACACAGTTCAGACACTCGGTTGGGGCACCCTCCCACCACAAGTCACCACTAGAAGGAGGCGGGGGCCAAGGACACACACACTCAAAAGTGCCACACGCAGCACACTGGAATGCCTGCACACTTGAGACAGCACCCCCTCCCGGGGACAGTGCTGCCAGGTATAGGTGTGTCTGCTGCTCACACTCCCATCCCCCTACACTCTTATCTCTTCTCCTCCAGCAGCCTCAGATACAAGTTCTCTCCCCTTGGGATGCCACTATTGCCGGACCCAGCATGTGCACAGCACTGAGGCAAACCTAGCCAATCCGAGGTCCCCCTCCCGCACACTGGATCCCAGTGTGACCAGCAAACTTCCCATGCCTGCTTGTTCCCGGCATATGAGGGGGGGAGGTCTGCTCCCGTTGGGGACATCTGGGCCCCTGTAAGAAAGGGCCTGCTGTGCAGTCACATATGGCCTAGCTCCCATGATATCACCTTCATCTTACCCGAAAATATTGGTCTCAGCTCACAGAAGAGGGCAAGGCTTCAGGGACTGTGTCTCCAGGGATGACTGACTGTCTCTCTTTAATCTCCCCAGCCTGACCAGCTGCAACCGGGAGGCAAGTGACACTATCCAAAGTAGCCTCCTGACACCAGAGGAGCCACAGGTGCCAGAGAATGCAGGAAGAACTGGTGGAGGAGCACATCTCCATACTCCCAGCCCTGCATAAGACGCTTTGATCAAGTCCTCTTGAAATGGAACTAGATCAAAATGAACTAATGAACTGTTAGTGAACAACAGCAAGGTCCAAATCAACAGTCAGTTCATGGCAGCGTAGATTCACCTCCCATCTTGTCACCAATGAAATGTACACAAAGACAAGCTTAAGTGACTTTTAGAAGGCCACACTCACACAAGACATCTTTGGAAAAGCCACGAACTTAGCCAGATCTCTTGAGGTACACTCTGATTCCTTAAGCACAAAATCATCCTTGCCTTTACACCACAATGAAGAGGGCATTTCCATCTCTTCAGTAATATTTCAAATGTTTTAGTGCTGGTGGTTCACATAATAACAGACCTTCTTCACAATGCCATTAATCCAGGATTGAAATTTGTCAGCTTACATCACTGTAATTTAAAGGGGAAAATTGCATATTTGGGGAGCAAAACATTGACACTTTTTAAATATTTTTAACAGGGCAGCTGTCTAAAATATATTCTAAAGTGTGGACTATAAAATGTAGGCCTGCATAAAGTTGCTCTGGGGTCTAAGTGAGTGTGCAGGATCAGGGCTTGAGAGTGACAATGTTAATTTA